GCGGTCCCTGAAGCCTGGCCCCCGCCGCTGAGCCTGGACCCAGGCTCTCTGGCTTCGCCGGTGGGCGGGTGGGCGCGCGGCTGCGTCCTGGCTGTTTCGGCCAGGGGGCCAGGCAAGGAATCTAGTCTAGATCTGGGCCGCAGATCTAGACAGGGAGCCCAGGCGTCGGTCCAGGCCCGGAGTCCAGGCGGTTCTCCTGTCCCCTCCGAGTCCGGTGGAGCGTGGCCTTGGCTTTGGTCTTGGGTGTGGCCTTCCCGCGTGTAGCCCCTGCTGAGCCTCGCCGGGCACCCGACCAGGGTTTGGATGTGAAAGCCTTGTCAGGCCTAGCAGAAACTTACCCAACAGTTTGTTTCAAAAATCAAGTTGTTTCTGTCTCTTTGGGGCTGACTGACTTCCCCGAGCTCTTAAAGTGTAGTAGAGTCTACAGAGAAATTTATAAAACTTCTTTATGAAACTTTATGAAACCTCCTGCTATGAAATTTTCTTATAAATGTGCCTCCTAAAACTCAGTGTGACCCACCGACCCACTTTTTTCTTTTTCTTCTTCCTTTCTTCCTTCCTTTCTTCCTTTTCTTCCTTTTTGTGATGTTAAGTATTTATCTCTTTAGCACTGAAGCTTTCAAGGGTGTTGTGGTTTCAGTTTACGGTGCAGGCTAGGAACAAAAGCTTTGTTGAATAGAGGCCATTTACATTCCCAGAGAATTTAAAATGCACTGTAGCAGTATTTGGGCAACGTGTATGCGTACTTAACGTGATTTTATAAAATGTTTTGCTTGTCCTCAGGTGCAACGCCTTTTCTGTGTGTACATGAGTTACTTTATCGTGTATGCATTTTAGCCATGGAGATAGGAAGAAATCATAGAACTTATGATCCTGTGTGAAAACAAACCAGTGTAGATCCCCAAAGGAAACAGCAACATTTATTCTTATTTTTAGACAGACTTACTTTGAAGAAGTCCGTGATTTTAAAGACAAGTGATAGGCATTCAGTTTTTAAAAATATTTAATATACTCTGGTATGTGGGCAGTTGCTTGGCTAACTTTGTTACTTGAAAGAGTAAAATTTCAGCCTAATATCAGTAGAGTCAGTTTTTTAAATGTAGCTGAGAATTTTTAAGCAAGTTGATTTATTGAAGTTACAATTTGAGTGCAAGATTTACTTTTGGCCAGTCAGATTTTCTTTTGCTAGAACAAGATAAAAGTCTCTCAAGGAAGACTAGACAAACTAGGCAGGATTTTAGGCACTGCATTTACTTGATTAAATTCAGTTGCTTTGAGATTTGTATGTCTTCCTGGTTCTGGTCTTCAGCTTGTAAGTTAGGTTACAACATATTTAAAAATATATTCACTTGAAAGAACCCCACTGATTTCACAATAAAGTAAACTTGATGGTGTACAAGTCACTGGTCTCATCTGAGCTGATTACATCTGCCTTGCATGCATTTTACACCCACAGTATGGTTTGCAGTGGTGTTCAAGGCATAGCGTGAAAAATTTGATTTGAATAGTTCCATTAAAGCAATGAATAAAACCCATGGCTTAATAGACTTTCTAGTGATAGCTCCCCCCCTTACTATGGTAACTCTGAAATAAACATGTGATCTAGTATTAGGAACATGGCATTTGGAAGACTCTTGCTGGTAATATTTAATTTAATAAACATACTAACTGTGACATTATTAATGCAATGAAGCTTGTACCACAAGCTGATTCTTTCAGGTTGTTTGACCTATTACTTATCACTAGATTCCTTATAAACATATCCTGTGACTTACAGTTTGAATTTTATATTAAAATTATTTTGGATTTCAACTCTTTAAAAATATCTGCATGACAAGAAACTCATTTTATATACAAAGCATTTATACTTGAGTATCTTGGCAAGCCTTTTATGAGGAGGATGAGGGAATTTAGGAAGGGAGAGCATCTCTAGGGCTACGCTTCTAGTCCTTTTAGCTAATATAGTTTTGTTCCAATGCTAGGAGGAAAACAAAGAATATAAGGTTAACTTTAAGTTTTGGGGCAAGAGTTACACTTACTTAGAATATATATGTATATGTGTGTGTACATATATAATTATATATATAATATATAATTTATACTGTTTCAAGAAATGGCAAATTAATTGGATTTTCTGGTTGAAAAATGTAACAAAACAAATCTTGCTAATATTAGGTTTAGTACTCATATTGGGGTTTATTTAGGTATTGATTTAGCGCATATCTTCATGTTAGCAAAAGGGTACTGTATGGGAAAAAGCCTTTTCAATACAATCTTATTTCGGGTTCCTACAAAAAGAAAAACAGTTAACAATGTTGTTTTCAAACCACAGGATCTTCCTCGCTCACATTTCAACTTTTAAGATTTATTTGTCTTTTATTTTGTCATTCTTAGTATGAAGGGGAAGGCATTTTTCAATCTTAGGATAATTCAGAAGCAATTTTTTGGTTCTCAGTTAATTCAGTCTCATCTTAAAAGTTCAAATTTAGCAAAGCACATGTTCCCTTGTTCATGCCAAGTGTGATAAAAACTAGTCGAAAAATAAAACTATTGCAAACAAGTAGAGCACTGCACTTCACTGCATACTATACAGGCCACATCATTTCTAGGTCTGATGTCACTGCCTGCTAGGCTGCCATTTGTGGGCACAAGTAAGACTGACCTTGAAAGTTGATAGACGGCACTACTGTTTCAGATATGTGTGTTTGAATTGTATGTGTGTGTTTTAAATATCCTTTTTGAATATTGATGTGCGCATCCGTGAGCATTCAAACATTTGCCATCTTCTATCAACAAAAGGTTATTCTTTTCAGGCTCCAGGATGTGTTTTTCTCCCTCTGCATTGGAAGCTCTTCTTTGTTTTCTAAACCATGAATTAGCAAAATCATCTCTCCCTCTTTGTAATATAGTCAAGTTATAGGCTACTTTGTGTAATTACAACTTTCTTAATAGTTTAATCTTTCTATTTACGCTATTAAACTATCACTATACGTTTTAAGTTTAACGCCCTTGAACTTCAGTGAATAAAATACACGTATATGCTATATAGAATCAGTTTAGGCCACCTGTAACCAACAGTGACATTTTATGAGAACTCATTGTATAGATTGCTGTTATTTTGAATGGCTCACTCAGTTGGGAATTTACAAAAGGCCAAACCATTATTTGTAATTAAAAATGTTTCTAATATGGTTAGTACTTTCATAACCTGAGTTGTTTTTTACTTAAACATTTATAATTCTTAATATAATTTTACCACATATACTCCTCAGCACTTTCCTTTGAGAAAACAGAAGGTATAATGGGGAATTATTCTTTCACAGTTTACCTACAATTGTATGCTGTGTAATTTGTTTAAATGAAATCTTTTTTTCCTACCTCTGTCTAATTTCCTATTTTATATATATATATATATATATATATATATATATATATAATTATTATTTTTTTTAATGACTGCATTCTAAATAATCCTTAGAGCTCACTCACCTTTGGGATGCACTCCCTTAATTTATGCTCACATTCTGCTTTGTTCCTGTGGAGAAAGTCAAAGAAACATACTGACTTCCTCCTCAACAAATTTGTTCTTTCCTCTTCCAACTCTGCTGTCTTCCTGACACTTATTTTGCCCTTGTTGACTCTCTTGCCAACAACTTTTTTTTAACCTACTCTTCCTTCTCACACAACCACCCTGAACCTGAATCTTTATAAAATCTACATCTCATTCTTCAGTTTGTTTATTTCAGATCAGAATTTTTACAGTTGTCTCCAAAAGCAATTGTAAGGTTATTCAGGACATATCAGATACAATACGTCTTTTTATTTAACTTCTCCCACGTTGATTTTTTTTTATTTTATGCTTCTTTTTCTATATACTTTTATTATCACTTCTCTCGATATTCACTTTATTTGTTATTTGGATTTTTTTTTAATTTGTGTAAGGGCAATATTTTTGTCTTTTATTGGTATTTCTGTTCTCTTCTTTACCCCTAGCATTCTTAACTCTGTGAAGCACTCCATTTACCCCTGCCTTCTTTTGTATTAGGACCCATCTTTCAATGCTTTCTTTGATCCTTTTCAATTCAGCTTCCTCATTTGCACAAACATTAAAATCTTTTTTACTACATTTACCAGTGTGCTCTTAACCAAATGTAGTGGCCTTGTTACAGACTAATCTTTATTCTTTTAGCTATTTAAAAATCATAACTAAAAAAATCATAATTAATCCTTTGGGTGATTCAGAATCACGGATTCTGCAACTCCTTCACTTTTCCTTCTTTCCTCCAGCTTTTCTTTCATGAGTCCCTTTGCTTGTTTGCTTATCTATTTATGCAGTTTATAGGTTTCTATAAGATTGCTTTTCACAGGACGTGTCCTTAAATACTTCTAAGAAATCTAGCTAGACACGTGTTATGGAAGAATGGGGTGGGAAAGAGAAGATCTGGTACTAGTTTTCTTAATATATACCTTTTACCCATTGCTTAACAGCCTTCACCTACTAAATGGTGTCTTATTTCTTGTAGCCTGATACATTTTAATTGACATTCTGAATTTTTCTATTTTTCCTTCCCTTCTTTGAACTGTATATATAATACCTACTCATGTTCTTCCTGCCCTTCAGTTTAACAAGATAAGGGTTACAATGAATTAAAAAATTTAATCTTTCTTAGTTAATGTTAATTTAACCCCTTAAGGAGATTGGAATGTGACGTTTATACATATGCTAACACCTTAAGGAGGAAGGTTTTTGTTCTTTAAACGGCTACACAGTTGTGTGTACTATATCTTATTAATGACATCACTAGCAGCTGTTTCTCTACACAGCTAGAAAAAATAAAGTATTAAGCCTAAGCTATTCAGTCCTTATAGATCATGAGAAACAGTTCTACTTGTATCACCACTGTTTAGGAAACTCTTTGCTCCTGAGTTAAAAGTTACACAGATTTTAAATTTCATTTTCAATTCTTTCTACTTCACAGTGATCTTTAAAAATATGTGTGTTTGTTTGTGTGTATGTGTGTCTGTGTACAGCACCAAAATGAGAACAAGAACATAAAATCAAGAATTGTGAGTGGGGAGTTTCTGACCCTCCGTGCATTCTGTAGTCCTAGGTATTGTCATAATTGTGTGCTTTCTGAGGACCTCTTATTGGAGCTTGAAGACATACCCTTTCAGTACTCTCTTATCTATGAAAAGAATTCTTTGTGTATCTCCAAGCACTAGAATCAAGAGCCTTTAAATTTATTACTTAACTTGCACACAAT